TATATATATATATATATATATATATATATATATATATATATACCTGCCTCCAAGGCTATGATTCAAAGCACGTAAAAGCCAAGGTTTTGGTCTTTGAGATTCTTTCACCCAAGAGTTCTGGAATCTGGAGACTTCAAAAATGATTAAATGACGTTATGAAGATTAAATTAAATTAAATTTGTATATGTGAAAAGAGACGGTAAATCAAACATAGACTTTGTAGTTTGTACACAAAATTTCTGTCTGATCCCATGAGTCCAACTTCCAGACATCCTTTTCAGTTATGGGTTTTTTGTAGCCTTGTCGCATTAAAGGGGTCATCCAGTCAATGTAAATCCCTACACAAGGAAAGATAATAGGAATGGTGTTATATAGTGGAAGATATATTTTTTCAGTTGGGAGTACTATGACGTTTTACCAACATCCTTTTTCTAATGCTTCTTATTGTTTTACTAAGAAAATGTCGATATGATGAAAAAAGATAGTGATATTTCTCGTCGAGAAAGAAAATAATAGTGATATCTTTGTTTTACACCAATGTACTTTAGATTTTTTAGTATATAAATTCGTAAAACCTATATATATATATATATATATATATATATATATAGGTTTAGTGGCTCTTCATTGAATCGAAGAAAATTAACAATTGAGACTTACTGGAAAATATATTAGCATATCTCTCGGGGCAAACGAGCTCTGCTAGAGGCTTATTATCATTTTTGGTGTCATCAACAGAATCCAATAGTGGTATGTAGCCGGGGTATCGGTCCAAATTTGGAACATAAACTAGAAGCACCACACCAAACAAAATCTGCAGGACTTAAAAGTGTCATAGAAAGAGTGAAAAAGTTAAACTCTGCTGCAAGCCTTCAAGTCACATTGTGTTCACAATTAAGAAAAAAAAATGGAAGGAATTCCCTTCACTTGGACAAAAACTAATCTACCTGGAAGAAGACTGAACTGATATACAAATACAGCGTAGACCTGCAATTCCCGGGAAAATCAATGCATGAATCTCGGCATGCCACTTATATTGTGAATTTTGACATTTTTATACAGGAGACGCACAGAGAGGCAGCACATTTAATTACAAAAAAACAACCAATAACTGAGAGTATTAAAATTCTAAAAAATAAAAGTTTTATTCTTTGCGTACAAAAAAACACCCACAGGTCCATACTTACTGCAAGTACCGAGTTCACCATATATAATATCATGAAGTCAGTCTCATTCACATGGATTAACTAACTATTTACCTATGTCCTGTAAATTCAGCATGACATGCCATTAGTTTTTCAGCCAAACACAACATTGCCAGCATTCATGAACTTAGGCACATCTATGCTAGAACTCAATTCTGATAATTTCTTTCTAGAACAGTTATCATATTTTTTTGGGGGTATTGAGCAGTTTATGAGATTATTTTTCAATTATCAGTGTCAGAGTGCATGACTAATTAATAACTGAGTTTTCAAAAGTGAATGTTATAAAACCCACTTTGGGGTGCTCTGTAACTTTGTTACAGATTCAAACTTCAAAGCATATAGGACTAAGTGTAAGGATGGAGAGACTAACCTGGCGTAGTAATCTTTGAATTGGAAGATGAAATTGCAAATAACTGCATGTCCCACTAATACATATATTACTCCAAATCTTATATACCATCTGAACTCTTTGACATATACGTTAGTTTCAAGAAGCAGCATAACAACCATAGAACACCATGAGATAAACTCGATGCCCAAATGAACCATCTGCAGAGACAAACAAAAAATAAAACTTTGTGTATAAACAGCACAGAGAGAGAGAGAGAGAGAGAGAGAGAGGGAGAGAGAGAGAGAGCTATAAGCATTAGCCAGATAACAACAAGATACCTCAAAAGGAGCAAATCCCATCTCTTCATCCAAATTGAATAGTGATATCCCCATGAAAAATCTAAACAACGGCTCAGCAGCACAACAACTTGCTAAAAAGGCCAGTGCATAGTTGTAGAAACTTGTTCTCAAGCAGAATCTTTGGACTTTTGGATTGAACTTGATCAGCCACATTCTATACAAGCACAAACCCGAAAGAATCAAATGAGAAACATTCCCCACAATAGAGTCAACGGCACAAGGCGTAAATGCACCAAGTGCGCTGTCTGTCTCTCGAGCCCAAATTTCATTTGTCGATGGCCGGCAAAACCAGACTAATGGTTTAAAACCCATGTTTTCTGACTATCAGCCAATAAGATTATGGCAGCCACCTTCTGCAAATCAATTTCTTGGTCAGTCCCTGAAGACACAACACTAAATATGGTTTTCAGCACAATTGGAAGTATGACATAATCTTCGATGCCCAGATCATATCACTGATGTGAACTACCTAATTTGGAACGATATTTAAAAAAAAAAACAAAAAAAAAAACTGCTCCAATTTCATCCTCAGGGGAAAAGAAGGAGCAGGAAAACTAAACAGTTAAAAACAGAGCTCATTGATCATTCAAACAGTCAATCAAAATCCCCGTTGAATGAAAATCAATGATGGCTTTACTTTTAAGCAGAGTCCACGCTATTATATTTTCACAAAATCAAACTAACATATTTTTAACAGCCACGAGCTGAGATTCTTTATCGTCCAAGACAGAAAAAATACTCAAGAATCTAACGAAAACATCAAGCTTCAAAGTTAAAACATCCAAAACAAAGATTACATTTTGAGCATACCCCACATTCAATTCTTATCCAGAACTCTTTCAACAAATGAATGCTATCCAATTCTAGAGTTATGACATACCACCAGCATGTAAGAAACACATTTCGCAAGAATCTAACGAAAACATCAAGCTTCAAAGTTAAACATCCAAAACAAAGATTACATTTTGAGCATATCCCCACATTCAATTCTTATCCAGAACTTTCAACAAATGAATGCTACCCAATTCTAGAGTTTTGAGTTATGACATGCCACCAGCATGTATGAAACACTACCACCATAATTCGTCAAAATACCATATTCGCATTTGCTCACATCAAAACGCCCAACAAAAATCATGACAATCTTATAAAGAATCAACACTTTATACACAATTGCTTCACGAGGAGGAACGAGAACTAACAGAAACTAGTCGAAACTTCAGTTCTACAAATTTGGTCAGCCTTGGCCTCTTTTGTTCGAAGAGAACCAAACAGAACACTTAGGTTCAGAAGCTCTTCGCATGGAAACAATAAAGGTCGCATCACCCATTGGTTAAAGACTAAAGGGAAAAATCTTGTGAACAAATGGAGTGAGTACTGCAGATCCTGAAACGAACAAAACGACATACAAAAAACGAACAAAACCAAGGGACCAATTGGAGGCGTGTAGCGTCATTGCTTACGAAATTGTGCAATAGTCTGTGGACAGACGTTTACAATATGTTACTGAATAAGTGAAATTATTTATTTTAGGAGGCTCGTTTGGGGAATATTAATGGGATTATTATTTTTTTTATTTGATAAATTGGTTTTATTTGTCATTTTAGCTTATTGCAAATTAGTAGGCTACATAAAATTAGCTGATAAGTTAATTTATAGCTTATTAATAATTTTCAGGTTTATAGTTTATAGTTTATGACTTATAACTGAAAAACTAGCTTATATGATAAAAGTGTTGAGTAAAATTAACTGATAAGCTAGCTGAAATAAAAACTTCAACGAGCTTATTTGAAAAGCTACCCAAAAAAACTCATGATAAGCTCGAGCTTTTTAAATAAGCTCGTCCTACCAAACGAAACTTATTTAAATACAGGAAGCTTATAAGCTAATAAACTATAAGCTAGCTTATTTGTCTACCAAACATAATCGTAATCATCCTGTGCATATTCACAAATGTAAATAAAATATTATAAGTTTTATTTGTAAATATAACATTAAATTATAAGTTAGATAATGGACATATCACATTTTGAAAATTTAATCATCACTAAAAATAAAAAAATATAAATAAAAATTATTTAAGTATATATGAATCACTATATTGATTGAATAAATATTGAGAATAATGTAATTTTTAATTTTGAGAGATCATAATAATTAATTTAGTTAAAAAATTATTATTATTATTATTATTATTATTATTATTATTGTTGTTGTTGTTGTTGTTGTTGTTGTTGTTGTTGTTGTTGTTGTTGCAATAATTACTTATAAAATTTTAAGGTGGTTTGACTACTATTAAACTATTACCTAATTCTTTCTTTTAAAGAAAACTGTTTCTTGAGATATAAAATAATAATTAAAAAAATATAATATTGATTTTAGAATAAAGAGCTTGAACAAAAATATTTGTAATGTAATTTTTTTATACTTATGTGATTTCTGTATGGTATTTAGTGTAAATTATAGTAATTGGTATTAGTATTAACTATTATAAAATATAATAGTAAAAGATATATAATTAAATAATTGTAACGGTTTTCTATCATAAATAGCTAAAAAATGAGTGAGAAACGTTACTAAATGAAGTTGAATAAAATAAAAGGATAAAGAACTTAGTTTAATGATTAAAATTTTATAACATCTTTTGGCGGAAACCAAAAACATTTTTATTAATTACTCTGCCAGCTGTTATATATATATAGATACCAAATTGTAACAAATAGCTAATTGTATTAACCGGTTTGATTAATATATTTAATTAGACCATGAAGTTGTTGTCGTAAAATCGAATCTACCAAGTAAAGTTTGCTACATTAATCTCAAATTAAGTGTTTTCTAACGATTCCTCATATTATGTGAAGACAAATGCATTTTTATATTATTTATAACATTTCAAACTTTTATTTTTATTATTTTTCTATTATTTATAATATTTTCAAATGAAATATATATTTAAAAGAAAAGTATTGTAGCCTATTAATAATGATTAGGCACATCCTAACAAAATATATACCGAATGTTTTATGTTTTACTCTACTTCCAAATTATTTGTATTGTTAGGCATATTTTGTTTACCATATAGTGATGGCACTACTATCCATACAACTTGTAAATTTTAATGTCATGGTAAATTGATTATTTTTGTAGAGAGATAAAACATGAATAAAAAATGTAGTCACATGTCTTCACTAGATTAATATCTATGCAACTTTGGATCTTTATGTAATGGTAATTAGATAAATGGTGTAGTGAGATAAAAAATGAAATATTCACATGTGATCTTTATGCACTTTGGATCTTCACGTCATCATAACTACATAAATTTATTCCACAATTGTAATTAATATAAAATTTAAATTTAATTATATCACAGAATATTTTTACCATTTCGATTTTAATTTTTTCACACCTATAATTCATATAATTTTCACAAACTCCTATTGCACACATCTGCAAGAAAAAAATCATAAACACCAAAACATTCATTTTGTCATTAATCATAAGAACCATCAAACTCATTGTCATTTTTCTTCACATAAACAGTCATCAATTGACAGTGATACCCTGTTACGAACTGTTAAAATTTTCTGGCAAAAAGGAGCTGTAAGCTAGTAGAAGATTCATATTTGCGGCAACGTTAGATTTATGCAAGCACAAATCCTCGTTCGAATGCAAAGTCCCGTTTACATCCCAACATTGTCCCAGTCGATTGTCCGATCCTCAAAATTATCCGCATGGTGGAGCTTATTCCGGGAAAGCCTACTCATGATCGCCAGACCTGAGAAATAAAATAAAGATTTATACGAGAAAAATAACTTCACCACAAAGCTGGCAAGATAATAATATCAGACTCGAAATTGTTGAAACCATTGTAGTCAAAAAAAATTATCTGACAGCGAAATTCTCACTATCCACAAATCACAAGTCAACTTTACGAGGAAAAAAAATCGTTAAGTTCAGCGTAATTATAGAAGGAATGTTTGTTTATAAATAAACTTAATTTATACTTAAAATTTAACTCAACTTCACTATTATCAATATAATTAAACAATATGAATCAATCAATAAATCATTCTTATACATCACATCAACTTTATTTTACTATTCATCCACTCACAAATCAATCAATTATTTTATTTAAATTTTAGTTTAGTGTAAAGTCAAAATCCCACTAATAACTAACTATACCACATTTTTTAAAATTAACCTGGTCAACAAAAAAATCGGTTTTTTTCAGGATCACAAACATCCATTCATGCAATTTCAAACACCCTATTATTGAGTGTTGAGTGGTGCATTTTGTAATTCTAAAAGCAGCCAAGTTCTTTTGCATCTGGACCAAAACTTTGGTGTTGTTCTATTTGATTAACTAATAACAGAACCAATTATAGCAAAAAACTGTCACCAACAACAAAACCCAATGCACTCCCAACATATAAAATAAACAAACAAAAACAAAAACAGTAATAATAAGAAAAACCAGCATATTCACATGTAAAAAAAAAAAAAAAATAGTACCTTCAATCATTTTGTATAGAGATGACCACCACCTATCCCCCGAAATCTGGTTCCTGTCAAGATTCTCCTCGATTTCCTTGTTATGCTTACCCTCCAATACTTCCTGGAGGGTAATTACGGCATTCCTCGTCTGCCGGAGGATATTATTATCCTCACTGCTAACTTCCAACTGCAGGAGATCATTTTGCGAAGAAGTTAAACTCACCGCCAGCGCAAACTGGGCGGCAGCCGCCCAACGGGAGGAGGCTAGCCACCGTCTCCGGCCATCCAGCTGGTTTTCTGTCTCTCGTTTATCGCTGTCTGGTTCGCCTCTGAGCACTAGGCTGCGAAGGTACTCGGCATTTGCAGCCCCAGTGCTTTGGACCATCTTGGAAAAGGCACCGTCTTCTTTCTGTAGGAGTGTCTCGGGTGTGTCGAACTCGACAACCTGAAAAAAAATCGAGAGAACAATTTAAGGGTGTGATTGGATATGGATTTGATTTGATCTTGATTGTTTTTTTTTTTAATTTTGAAAAATGTGGTATGGTTATATGTTAGTGGGATTTTGAGTTTGTATTAAAATATTATTTAAAATAAAATATTTAAAGCTGATTTAACGTAAAAGTATGAGAGAGAGAGATAATGTGAAGTGATGGTTAATTAAAATTATGTGTGTGGATGAATACTGAATTAAAGTTGATGTGACGTGTAAGAATGATTAATTGGTATTATTTGATTATATTGATAATATTGAAGATAATGAGATTAAGTTAAAGTTGACTTAAATTTGAGTTTTAATTGGTTTTTCTAGATGGAGTTTATATCCAATTTAGTGAATTTTATAAAAATTATAATAAAAAAGGTATAAGAGTTGCGAGACCCGCTTGAAGGAGGCACATGTGCGGTAATTTTATGATATAGGTTTCGCTTGTGAATATGGAGAAATGGTAGAATGAAATCAAAATATTATAAGGGGGTTTTTGTAACTTCGGAATTTCTCCGGTTTCTACTGTAAATAATCGAAACTTTAGGGTGTTTTGTAAATATCTGTCTCTATTTCCTCAACAATTCTTCAAACTTAAAGAGAATTTTTCTTAGGCTAAATATCAAGATAAGAACTTGCTATTATCCCTACATCTGTTTGAGAAAACCAGGATTCGGTAAATTTTCTGCAACTACCTTTTGGCATAGCAAAATTTTCTCCACTCAAATTTCCAATACAATAAGCGAGAGTTAATAAAAAATGGCTCCATACCTGACCAGCATCGAGCAGAAGAATTCTATCACAATCAATGATGGTGTTTAAACGGTGGGCAATGATTAGCATTGTGCAGGATTTAAATTCTTCGCGGATGGTTTTCTGGATGAGGGCATCAGTCCTAACATCGACTGCAGCCGTTGCTTCATCAAGAACAAGAATCTTTGATCTGCGAAGTAATGCTCGAGAAAGACTCAACAATTGCCTCTGTCCAACACTGAAATTTTCTCCTGCTTCAGAGACCTTTAGAAGACAAATATAGTAATAATGAGCAAAGTAGAACTAAGATCCAGATAAGAAGAAAAATATATTACCTCCATTAATGGCCAAATATTAAAGTCCAAACTTAATAGAAAAATATAAAGTGTAAAATGCATGAATTTAATATGCTTTCATTGTAGGGAAAAAAAAGGGCATTTTTGATCATGGGTTAATAAATTTTCAGGCTGACAAATATTCCTATTTAAATCAAGGCCAGATATGTGACTTTAGATATTTACCTCTGCATCCAAACCCAAATGATTCCTCCTGATGACATCTTTCAAATGGGCCCTTTCCAAAGCCTCCCAAAGATCAGCATCATTGTGTTCATTGAACGGATCAAGATTGAACCTAACAGTACCTGCCCGGAATATAAAAAAGAATAAAAGATATCATTCAGTTAAAAGCAACACTTGAAACAAACAAGTTATAATGAGAAGAAATTCGACATGTAACTGCACAAACTTTCAAAAGTTAATCAGTAAATTTATTTTCTACAGCACAAATTTTATATGAAAAATTTCAAGCAAGACCGATGTTAATCCTATAGGTCTTGTTCCGTTCGGTCTTGCTTGAAATTTTTCATTTCGTCTCCACGAAGACGTATAGGATTAATTTTTGCTTTCTAAGTTTACATATATCCNCAAACAAACCTGAGAAAAGCACAGGTGACTGTGGTATAATCCCCAGAACCTTCCGGAGATCCGTCAGCCCAAACTTGGCAATATCACAACCGTCGATAAAGATTCTCCCACTCTCCAGCTCGACAATCCTAAACAAAGCATTCAGCATGCTCGACTTCCCAGCCCCAGTCCTCCCCACAATCCCCACTTTATCACTCGGCGAAATCTCGAACGATATCCCGTGCAGTACAGGTGGCAGCTCAGGCCTGTACCTCAAAACCACATCCTCAAACCTTATCGAACCCGACGAAGGCCAGCCTGGCGGCGGCCGGTTATTCTCGATCACCAGTGGGCCCTCAGACGGAAGCTCTATGTAAGTCCCGACCCTCTCGACCGCATTAAAGCTGTTCTCCGCCAGGCTGGCAAGCCTCAGAACGCCGGTCAACAAGCTTGTGATGTTCAACGCGTAACTCAATAGCAAACCCATTGTGGATGCGAAAGCTTCTTGGTTTTCGGCTCGTCCGTTTTGCAAAACGGCAAATGTGGCGGTGAACCATATCATAATGCCACCGACAGTTTCTAAACGGATGGCGAGCCAGCGGTTTCCACTCATGTTGACGAGTGTGAAACGGATGTTATTGTCCATGGATTTGCCGTTTATACCGGCCATTCGGTCGTAGGCTTTGTAGGCTCGTATGGTCGTGAGGCCGTTGAGTGCCTCGCCGAATTGAGCGTAAACGGGGGATCGGGTGATTGAGTCCAAGCGCTTCACTTCACGAGCCGTGCTCTGAAAAGGAAGAATAATTCTAGGTTAAAGTGGCAAGGCTAGGTAAAGAATCTATATCTTATATATGTATAAATATGGGCTAGCTATCCTGATTAATGCAGTTTTCCGCTTTTTTTTTTCTTTCGTTTAATTATAGAAACTAACCGTTACAATTTTCATGAGATAAGTGTAATGATATTGTTTAAATATTTATCATATAATACTTAAGACAAAAATAAAATAATTATAAATTAATTATTAAATGTTAATGGAACTTATACAATTATAAAAACAATTATAGCAACAATTTTTCTCCATAATCGATTTTAATGGCAAAACAAACCTTAAAGTCGCATAAGCAATTGTTATAATAATAATAATAATAATAATAATAATAATAATAATTTAATATATTTTCAACTAATGAATTGATCACGATCACTTAAATTTCTAAAGATTAGATTATTCATTTTATGCAATCTATATAGTGGTTCATATATAACTAAGATATTTTATAATTATAATTATTAAATTTAACACCATACACGGTCAGAAACACTTCAAGTAGCTATTAGTATCGCATGGAAAGAATGATGAAGTTCCATTTATAACATAAACAACCAAAGAAACAGCGTATAGGCTGCAACTACTAGTCGAAAAATCAATAGTGAAATCTACTAATACTCTACATTTGAAAAGGTAAAAAAAAGATATTGACTGCCGTACCTGGTAATACAGATATGCTACGTAAAACAAGACCAGAAGAGGCATGATGGCCCACAATGACATTGTGCTCACAATCCCGATAAGAACAAATGTAGAAATAAGCTGCGACACTTGATTGAGAAACATGTTCGCAAAAGGAGCAACATTTCTATCTATGTCACCTAAATCCTTTGCGAATCTGTTGATGATTCTTCCGAGCGGATTCGTGTGGAAGAAGACCATTGGAGCTCGAAGAATGGAATTTAGCATACCATTATGCAGTCTTCTTGCAGCATAAAGGCTCGACGTTATTAACCAGAATGAATTTATCAGCGTCACCAAAACCTGAAATTTAGAAGATTTTTTTTAGTTTTGAAGTGCAAAATAAAGGTGGAAAATCATTGTGAGCAAGAAAGATCAATGAGAATGATACATTTTTATTAAAAAGGGAAAGAGAGGGGAAAATATATATATATATATTATATATATATATATATGTATATATATATAGTTGCATAAAACTTACTTGACCAAAAGAAAGGCTCGAGTAGACCAAATTGTAGAATATTGGCCCATGCGTATGTACAGTGCTTGTATCTGTCCAATGGCTAAGCCATGTGCTGCCCGAAACTCGAAGAATTTCGGATAAAACATAGCACGTAAATAGAATCATAACCACCCATGCACCTCCCAGTGCATTTTTGTATCTGCAAACAAAACCAAAAAAAAAAGGAAAAAAAAAAGTAAATCTGATAAGTTTTAACAGAAAATTCAAACTCAGCAAAACAGAAAAGGACAGATTTTCGCACCTCATCAATACATGCCAGCTCACAACACCAGTTTCTCGTTCTTCCTGCTTAATCAGAACAGACTTGCCTTCTTTCTTATCATTCTTTTCTTTTACATCTTTAGATACCTCGCCGTTCAAACCATTAATTGGTTTAGAAGTTTTATCATCAACTTTGCCAGTATCTTCATTTTCTTCAACATATTCTTCCATTTTGCCGGCATTTTCCATGAGCTTTTGGAATAGAACGCCACTGTTTGAGAGCTCTTCGAATGTTCCCTCTTCTTTAACCGTACCTTCATGCACCAAGAGTATTCTATCAACTTGGGATAGAAAATGTAGTTGATTAGTGACTAGAACCCTTGTTTTTCCTCTCAACTCTCCTCTGATGCACTTTTCGAATACCTGATGATTCAGAAAATACACAAATGACAAACAAGTTCGAGTTTATTGACCAAGTAGAAACTCCAAATGTCAAATTTGCTAATTTCAGCAGTTAGTTATGCGTATTTCTGTAAAACATAAAGACAATTTATTTATTTTTTTTCAGTTAATATATGTAACATCACAAAATAGAAGCCAAAAGTGTTTGAAGTATTGTGCCCATTTTTTTACCTGACGGCCCACATGAGCATCTAGAGCACTTAAAGGATCATCAAATATGTAAACATCAGAATCTGAATAAACAGCCCGAGCCATAGAAACTCTCTGCTTTTGGCCTCCACTAATGTTGACCCCTCGTTCACCAATTTCAGTGAGATCACCACCCTATCATAGAAAATATTAGAAAGCCACACACAATCAAACGACATATCTACTAATGAAAAAAATATAAAACTAATATAGTGACATGATATTTCTAAACATATCCTTACTGGCAGTAAATCCAGGTCATGCTGCAGAGACGTCACGTCTATCGACCTCCCATATCTCCCAGGTTCAAATGTGGAGCCAAACAGTATATTGTCACGGACCTAAGAAAGACAAGTTTTCATCTCATGAACCGAATTAAAGTAAAAACTTAAGAATAAAATGAAACTTCCATTAAAACTTTACCGCCAGCAAAAAGCTACAACTTGTAATATAGGAAAATATATGATGTGGGGGGAGCATTTAAAATTTCAAGAGAAATTTAGGCGAATAATATGAAAATTCCATTAAAAAATTTACCCCGGCGAAAAGCTACAACTTGTAATACAGGAAAATATATGATGGCGGTCGTTTTAAATTTCAAAAGAAATTTAGGCGAATAAAATGAAACTTCCATTAAAAAATTTACCCCCGGAAAAAGCTACAACTTGTAATATATAGGAAAGTATATGATTGGGGGGAGCATTTTTTAAATTTCAAAAGAAATTTAGGCTTTTCAACTCACCGTGGCATTAAAAATCCATGAAACTTGTGGCACGTATGCAACTTTTCCTCTGATGACAACAGTGGCATCTGCAACTGGAGGAAGCTCACCGAGCATTGCCGATATAAGCGATGTTTTTCCTTCGCCAGTGCTGCCAACAACAGCAACTAAGCTACCAATTGGTATGTCCAAGTTGATGTTCGACAAAGTTGGTCTTTCTGCCTGTTACAGATCATAAAGAGCATGAAACTAAAGCGGCTGGAAAAGATAAGACATGAAATTAGTCAATAATGGTGTTATATGTACTACTTTGAGAGGATCATTTTCATTCAATGATTTGCATAGATATATAATCTGCTGAATATTGACCATCCACAAACCTTAGCCTCCCAAGAAAAGTATCCATTCCTAATTGTGATAGCTGGTAATCCAGGTTCAATGGGTGGATTAGGCAAAAGAATTCGGTCTTCAGCTAGAAGGAGTTCCTCCAGACGTTTCAATGACACATTTGCATTTACTACCTGGAAAAATGATACAGAACGCATACAAAGTCATGAATAAATAAAAAG